TGTAAATTGTTCTGCTATGAACATAGGTGTGCATATATTTCTAATTGGTGTTTTGGGATTCTTAAGATACATTCCCAGAAATGGGATTGCTGGGTCAAATGGCAGTTCCATTTTAATTTTTTGAGAAACCTCCATACTGTTTTCCACAGTAGCTGCCCCAGTCTGCATTCCTACCAGCAGTGTACTAGGGTTCCCCTTTCCCCACATCCTCACCAGCACTTGTTTGTTGATTTATTGATAGTAGCCATTCTGATAAGTGTGAGGTGACACCTGATTGTCATTTTAATTTGCATCTCTCTGATGATGAGTGATGTAGGGATATTTGTTTTAAAGGCATTTCTAAAGAGCAATGAAATATGAGGTCGAAGATGACCCAGCAAGGCCTTTTAAAATGTACAATTTTAGAGTAATTATGAGTCTTATTAGTGACTGCAGCAATATTTTCAGAACCCATACCCCTACAAAGGTCCTCAAGGACTGGAGACATAATTCACATCACAGAATCCCAAGCACCTTTTGGCTAAATGCAATCTGACTTCCAAAGAAATATATAACAAATTTGTTCTAATGCACTGTATGGTCAAGAAAAAATAGGAGAGATGCTTTCAAACCATAAGCCTGTATATCAACAAATTGATACAAGGTGATGATGGTTATTTTAATCATTTATGCCTTCTATTGTATGTATCAAGTAGACGAAAGCAGAGTCATAACTTAAAAATCAAGAATGAGAAAACAAGAGATGGGCAGATAGATAAAAGGGAGAAGGAAGGGAGAGAAGGGCAGAGGAAAAAAAAGAGTAGAAGAAGGGAAGGGGAGGGGAGTGGAGGGGAGGGGAGGGAGCACGGTAGAAAAGCGGGAGGAGGGAGTAGGAGGGAGCTGTCTGCCCGCTGGCATCCTAAGGAGGAGCACATTTGTAGCTGGCTGGCTGCCTGAGGACAGAGGCTGACTCCTCCTGTGCGTGCTCACACACTCACAAACATGCCCACGCGCGCACACACAGGGCACCGTGGTCCACAAAACCAGACAAAGGAAGGTTGACTGTTATCCAGCCCGCCCCTCAAAGTACCTTCCATAGTGACTGACGTGTGGCTGTCCTTGGAGTCCTTGGGACCTTTCACTTTGAGTTCCTGCCAGAAAGAGGAGAGGCATCACTACCTGGCCTGTACCCTGGCCTGCCCAGCCCCTCTGCGATCATGGAGGGAAGGAGGGCTCTGAACCCCAGGGGTACAAATCTGAGAGACAAAGACCAACAGGCAAGAGCCTTCCTCTGCCTCACGACCACCCAGACTCTCTGTGCCACACCATGATCTCCTGGAGCCCAGCAGCCGGGTGTTGGCAAGGAGGGGCTCTAGGCACCAGACAGGACTTCGATAATGGTGCTCCTCAGACCTGTCCCCTAAAACTCCTCCCCTGCAACTTCCAGAGAAAAAGCAGGACTCCAGCCCTGACCCAGCAGCAGCCACTACTTGGAGGTCTGTGCACATCAGCCCAGGACACACAGGGTCTGAGTGGACAAGCAGCAGGTGGACCAGCTGATCCTGGGGCATGAGCAGCTTTTGGGATAAGGGGTCCTACACACCTGCATAGGACAGGGGAAGGGCCTGGGGTGGTACACCTGGGGCCAAGAGGCTGAGTCCCACAGGGCAGTCTGAGCTATATCCTACCCATATGGGACTCACCTGGCCCCCAGCCCCACCTAACATGCCCCACCTTCCAGAGCCTGTGCTAGAGAGGAAACTGTAAGGAAGGAAGAGCAAACCCTGTCCCACCCCAAAGTGATCGGGCAGTGAGTGCTAGAAGCAGACTCCAGGGCAGCTTATCTGATCCAAATCTCTTTTATTTGCCTTGAGAGAAAGGTCCAGCTCCAGCCCTCGCTAACGGACCAGTGTGGCCTGTAACTGGAGCTGTAATGCAATCCCCACTTCAGGGCTGAGAGCACAGAGGGGGGCCTTCGAGGGGGGTGTCAGTGGTGAGAAGGCGGGGGTGAGGTGAGGCCAAGGTCAGGTACCCAGGTGATATTGCCTGCTCTGCCTGGGGGGAGGAAATGCCCAGACAGCAGGAGCTCCCCTTTTCTGGATCTTGCCTCAAGCTGTTTTTAGACAGAGAAAACCCACAGGGACTGAGCCTAGGGTTTGGGGGTGGAGTGGGGAGAAAGGGGTTACTCAGCTCCTCAAGGCTGTCTCTGGCTTGTGTCTGGATTCCCAGATTTAGGGACTTTTTCTCCATGCCCCCCTCCAGTGCAGCCCAGAGATATGAAATCACTCCACTGCAGTGGAGAAGGGCCTAATTGCAGTAATTAAGTGGCAGTGCCAGTAGGAAGCGACAGTGTCAGTGCATGAGTCAGGGTAAGAAGCCACCTGGCAGCGGGCCACAGGCCTGGCTCTGCCCTTGGAGCCAGCAGGCTTTGAGAGGGGCTTCAGGATGAGTGCAGGGGCTTCCTGCGCAGCACAGAGAATGGACAGTCAGCCCAGGCTAAGGGGGGGCCCCACACACTCTGGACCATATGTGATCCCAGGTACCCATGGCAGGGCCTCTCTGAATACAGATCAGGGGAATCCACTTTGTTCCCTGGGAGAACTGGGAGGGGTGAGGGGAAGCACCGTTTCTCCAGCCTTGTGACTTCATGTACAGGGACTTCCCTACCCCTCACTCCGTCCTCTGAGGCAGAGGGTGACTCACCTGATCCCTTGGTTTGGGAGAAGAACCTGAGCTCAGCCCTCCTCTCTGGCCCTAGTAGATGTGTTTGATTGTGGAGGGCTTCCAAGTGTTAGCAAGCCCCATGTGGCTACAGATCCAAGCCCACATTTTTCCAATCTGGCTTTTACTAGTAATTAAGTTGACATTTTCACCTCTGTCCATCAGACTCTTGCATCTGCCTCTTGTGCTCCCTCTACCAATTTCAAACTTGGGTATAACCCACAACCCCAGTAGTTTCATGAAAACTATGCTGCATCTCACCAACAGAGCTGAGACAAGAAAGTAAAGGGTCCAGAGGGGCCTGTAAGGCAGGGCCTCCAAAACTGCAGAGGGAGCTCCCCCTTCTTAGAACCAGAGATTCTCTTGCCTGAGCTAGGAGCTGGGTGCCCTGACTACAAGGCTAATGGCTTGGGGCTGTCACAGATCTTTCTGGCTAAAGGGGTGAGCTGGGCTATGCTCCTGAAGGATCCTAGAGCCCCACCCCTGCCACTTCCCGGAGAGACAGAAATGTCGATGGCAGACGATACCACATCTTTGCTCTGCAGAGGAGCATGGAGGGAAGACTCAGCTGCAACAGCAGGGACAAGCATATTTCCAGCTGCAGGGTCTGCGACCTCTTCTCCACTTAAGTGGCCCCTGTGCTCTTTTTGTGGGACTGCAATGATCTGAAAAAACCACCCAGCCCAGACTTCCTCAAATCTTCCTGATGGTAAAAATCACCCAAGAAGCTTATTAAAAACAGACTCCTGGGCCCACCCTAAACCTTCATAATTGAAGCTCCAGGGAAGGTGCCTAAAGATCTGCATTTTAAACAGTGGCCCTGTGGTCCTTATCAAGCATGTCTGGCGTGAGTTGGAGGAATCGACACTTCATTCTACAGAGATGAAAGCCAATAGAAGGGAAGTGACTTGCTCAAGGTCACTGCAGTGTGGGAAATGCTGCCTTTTTCCTGTTCTTTTTCTCCCTCCTCTGTTCTAACACAGACTAGCCTACATCAGCATGGCAAAATCAAACAAATTGGTGTTCTTACGTTAAGAGGGAAAATGTCAAGTGCAAGAAAGCAAATGTCAGGTTAAGTGTTACCCATCAGGGGAACCGTTTCCCTGACTGGAAAGAAGGAAAGGAGAGGCCCAAAGGCTGGAAGGCTCTGAGCAGCTCCCAAAGCCCCGAGTCATAGGGGTGGCTGTGCAGGGAGCTGCCCACCTCGGAGATCTTCTGGAATTGGTTGTTGGACTGGCTGCACTTCTCAGCTGTCTCCAGAGCGACTTTATAGTTATCCACAAACGCTTTGTACACGCCAAGCTGGCTGGCCTGCAGGGAGGAGAGAGAGAGGAGGGCGGGAGTGGGATGGGGAGAGAGGATTAATGAATGGATGAAGGCTTCGCCAGAGCACCTGGAGCTCCCTTAGCGCTCCGAACCTCTAACTCAGCTCCAAAGCACTAGCTGGGAACTGAGGGGAAAGGCAGGATGCACATATTACAATAACCCTTTGAACTTGAGTTTCCATGGAAACTAGCTCAGCCAATATGGTTAACAAGGGGGTGCTGGGGATTAGGGGGAGCAGGGTAGGGTCTTTGTTGGCATGCTAGAAATTCAATTCATCAGCAGCATTTGGCTTAATTTAGCATCATCCAGGTCTCTCAGGGTTTGAAGCCCCTTAATGCCTCACACTTCTTTCACATCCTGAAATTGGCTGGGGCAGGGAGAGATGGGGAGGAGTGGGGCAGGCACGTGTGGGCATGGCCTGCTCAGTGCTCCACTCCCCAGGCTAAGTGTGAGGCACAGCATTTAAAGGCACAGTCCCCACTTCCCTCAGCCTCTAGATCGCCTGTCCCCACGTCCTTCCGCAGCCTCCAAGGAGCCAGAGGTTCTGCCTCACTACACATTTGCATGTCACTCTGAACCTAACACAAAGCTTTTCATGACTCATGACCATATACAGCCTTGCCTCCTCTGAGAGGCAGAACAGATGCCATCATCCCTCCCTTTCTGCAAAAGGGGAAACCTAGGCACATTCATTCAATCCTCAAATACTTATGGAAAGCTTTCTCTGTGCTGTGCATACGCATTTCCTCTTAACGGGGCAAAGGGTGGAAATGTGAATTAAAACTACAATAAAATACTATTTTATACCCATCAACCTGGCCAAAATTTAAAAGTCTAACGATATCAAGGATTGGCAAGAATGTGGGGAAATAGGAACTTTTACAGACTGCTTGTGGGGGTGTAAATTATTACCCCAACAAGGGTACTAATGCATTCTCCAGTCCCCTATCCCACAAGAAGGATAAAGGCTGATGCCCAGGTTGGAAACTACCCTCCCATCCCACTGCCTAAGGGAGTAGCAGGAGGTGAACCAGAAACAGGAGCCTGGGCAAAAGGCCTGAATGCAGGGGTCACCAGCCATCCGAGGCACTGTCATCTCCACGGGACACCCTCACCTACATGGCTCAAGGCCCAGCCTGCCAGGCTGTTAACTGGGAAGCGGATGTTGCTTGGAAACAGCAGCTTGGCACTAGGGTAATCTCAAAACAAACAGCAAAGAGGCTAATTCCCTTCTCTCCATGATAGTTAATCAAATACCCAGAGACCAGCGGAAGAGGAACTGCCTCCAGATGCCTGGCCTGCCCTGGCTCCACCGGGGGCTTCCCAAGCCTGCAGCCCCAGTGGCTTCAGATCTCAGTTTGTGATGCTGGGGGAGGGACGTTGGGGAGCACATTCGTGTCCAGGCCCATGGAGCTGGGACCAGAATGGGAGACCCTGGTGATAGCAGGGTCCAAGTGACAAAGAGAAACAGAGACTGCCTTTCCACTATCCTCTAGGGTATATACCTACCACCCTCTGGTTTGGTCTCTTTTGCCCTCCTGAGGGCTGGAAAAAGGCTGCCCCAAGCCAATGAGCTCAGATTCCTAGGACCAGGCCAGAGTGCTCTGGGGCAAGTACTCTGAGGCTGCCAGAACCAGAAGGGTGGAATTCCCTTGCAACACCTTATAGGGTGCCTCTCCCTAATAATAATAATAATAATAATAATAATAATAATAATAATAATAGCAGTAATGATAATCGCTAACTTGCGTATTTACTAATTTACTACGTTCCAAGCCCCGTGCCAAGCACTTTTCAGGCAATCCTCGCAAGAGTCCAAAGACATACTTTTATTATCCCCATTTTCTCAGGTGAGGAACCCAAGTCACAGAGAGGTTGGGTAAGTTCCTTCCAGTTACAGGTTTAATTTGTGGCAGAACCTGCATTCAAACCCAGCTGTGACCTGGCTGTAGGAGCTGTGCTTGTCCCTGCAGCACGGCTGGTCTCTCAGCACACAGACCTCACGCCCTGCGAGGTCTCCCTCAATGCTCTTCCAAGTTCTCCCTAGTCCCAGTGTACTCATTCACTCTTCATTCATTCATTCATTCATTCATTCATTCATTCAGCACTGGGCTAGTTCTAGGGGGTCTAGTGATGAAGGAAATACAGTGTGCCTTCCCAGAGCTTATGGTTTTGGGGAGACAGGCAGTTATAGTGTTCACTGAGGGGATAACCATACGGGCTGCATTCGAGGGGCTGGAGAAGGCTTCTCCAAAGGGATCACTTCTAAGCTGGGAACTGACCGGGAGAAGCCAGACCAGATGGGGAAGGACATTTCAGGCAGCTAGAGCCACAAGTACAGAGAGGTCGAGTGCCTGAAGTGTGAACTGAGAACAGCAAGTTCAGTGTCAGGGGCACAGAGAGTCGGGGAGGCAGCAGCCAGAGGCCAGATGTGGACAGAGGGTGGCATTCAAAGGGTCTCCTAAGCCATTCCTTGGAACCTGGTCTTTATCCAATGGGCAAGACGGAGCCACTGAAGGGATTTATGCAGGAGAGAAGTGAGGCCCGGTCAGGAGTTTGGATAACTCTCCTGCTGTTAGGTAGAGGTGGGAGATGGATGGGAAGGTGGGCCTGGAGGCAGGAGCCACTCTTGAGGCTACAGCAGAGGTCCAGGAGAGGGCCCCAGAGCTGGTGGAGGGAAGCAGGTGGCCATGAGCATTAAAGAAGTGGACTCTGGCCAGGCCGGTGTGGCTCAGTGTGTGGCAAATGCCTGAGGTCTCACATGAGCGGTCCCTGCCCCTCCACCAGGCACATGCCCCTTAGTCAACTGAGGGATAGGGGGCCTGAAACCCAGCAGGAGAGAGAAACAATGCCCTGCCAGGAGCACCTATGCACACAGCCCATCTCCAGCATCCCTAGAACACTCTAGGCTTCATGGGGAAGGCCAGGAATCGATGTACCAGGCCCAAGTTCTCCATAAAGCAGAGGCCCAGGCTTTCCTCCAGGACTTAGAAAGAGGGGGGATGGGGTTGACTGCTCCCCATCCATACCAGCAGCTCCACTGAGGCCCTGGATAAGCACGCTCTATCAACAGGACACTCACCAGCTTCTGGAAGAGGTGGCCCATGGTGACCTGGCTGTCCCACTGCTGCACCTTGGGGCAGAGGTTGTCATAGAACTCTTTGTGGATTTCATAGATGTCCTGGATCTTGTAGAAGATGGTCTCGATCTGCTGGATGGTGAGCACGGGCTGTGAGGTGGTGGCGGTGGCCTTCAGGGGTTTCATGGGCTGGGAGAGGGGAGGAAAAAAGAGCAGGCAGATAAACCAGAGTGTCAGCAGGCTCCGGGCACTGATTAGCCCTTCCTGCTGCCAGAGTTCTGCCCAGACAAGGCCACGGAAGGCAGGGCGCCTGCAGTGTGGTTTGTATCAAGCAGCTGCTGTCGCAGGCCCCAGCATGTGCAATTGCAAGGAGAGGGACCCTGACAGCCAGAGCCTGGCCCAGCAGCCCTGCCAGGCCCGAGGGGTGATACCAGGTCACATTTCCCCCACCCCTCGTTCCCTGAGGAGCCCCTGGCCTCCAGCCTGTACTAGGTGTGCTTTCTGGTCTAACAGGATTCATGCCTTCCTTCCACAACGGCCTTATGCTCTCAATCATAAGCTCTCTTGTCAAGCTTCAGTCAGGACCAAGAAACAGAGTATGATTCTAGGACTTGGGACTAGAGCCTTGAAGAGACCCAAGACCAGTCTCGGCTGCACTGATAGTTTAAGTTCCCACCACTTAGGACAGAGACAGTGAACAGGTGACACACTTGCCACTGTCCCGCTTCCTGTATCTGTGGCCAACATTGCTAAGTGATTACAATGATCTTTCTCCCCAAACCTGGCTGTAGTCGCAGACTCTTTCTCAATGCCAAGGCTGACGGCAAGATGAAACCTATCTGTCATCCCTGTTGCCTACACCAAGATCTCCGCGGCCTGAGGGTTGGAGAGGGTGAGATGACGGGCAGTGACTCAGAACCGTCCCCCGGCACTGGCTGGGAGCGGAAGCCATGAGCTTCATGCCCAATGGTAGGACAGTGTGATAAAGGGGCTTGGGTGCATTTTCTTCAGTGTGATTTTCCATATTTTCTAAATCACCTTCAATGAGTAAGCACTAATTTTATAATCAGGGGAGAAAAGGTATTAAAATTCATAGCTGAAATAAATTAAAAAACTGATCCTAAAGGATAAAGAGCTCCTCTTTGGTTGACCTTCCTTTCGCCCAAAGCCCTCCAAAGGCCTCCAGCAGACAGGGCTTGGGAACCCGCCACAAAGAGCAGGCAAGGGAGGGGCGGGCATGTTTACCTGGAGGAGAGAAGCCGGAGTGAGACATGGCTGATGAGTGGAAAGAGGCCCTTGATTTAGTCTGGGTCACTCTGAAGACCCAGGAACAGCAAGAAGTTATGGGGATAGGTGTGGACTCACAGGAGCTGTTCTCTACTGTGTCACAGGATTAGGTAATGAGCTTTTCTTTCCTTTTTCTTTTTTTTTCTTTTTTAAAAAAAAGACAGATTTCAGAGAGAGGAAGGGAGAGGGAGAGAGAGAGATAGAAACATCAACGATGAGAGTCATTGATCGGCTGCCTCCTGCATGCCCCCGACTGGGGATCGAGCCCTCAACCGGGGCATGTGCCCTGACCGGGAACTGAATTGTGATCGCCTGGATCACAGGTTGATGCTCAACTGCTGAGCCACGCCGACCGGGCAGTAGTGAGCTTTTCGACACGAGAAGCATTCTAGTGGGAAGTGGGGGAGTCAGCGCTGGACTGGAGGGCGCACCCACACTGAGGAGGAGGGAAGTCATCACTGGCGCACTCTAAGAGATGACACCAGCTCCAGCCGCACCGGCCGACTTCCCGCCAAGCTTCAGTCCATCCTCTACCTGTCTCACCCGACGGTGGCAGCACCCAAGTTTGTCCACAGGAGGAAGTCCCACCTACTCAAACACCCAGACAGTTCTCCAACTTCTGCCTCCTCCACCCTCCCAGCTTTAAAAAAGTCCAGACATGATGAAAAGAGCAAAAAAAAAAGCAGAAGCCCTCCTTCTGAACCTCTCAGCGCTGAAACCAACCAACCCTCAATGTCCAGCTCTTTGCTAGGGAAGTAGGATGGGGTCGGCCAGGGTGGTGCAGGCCAGGTAGTGTGGGTTTGAGTCCCGACTCTACCACTTAACAGCTGTGGGCAAGCTAGCATCTCTGGGCCTCAGCAGCCTCATTTGTAAAACCGGGATAATATTACCTTCTCAAGAACACTGATGGGAAGATTAAAAGCCATTATTTATATAAAATATTGAATATGCCTGGCCGGGTGTGGCTCAGCCGTTGAGCGTCGACCTAGGATCCAGGGGAACAGGGTTCGATTCCTGGTCAAGGCACATGCCCGGGTTGTGGGCTCGATCAATGACTCTCTCATCATTCATGTTTCTATCTCTCTCTCTCCCTCACCTTTCCTCTCTCTGAAATCAATGAAGATGTATTGAAAAAAAAAAAAAGAAAGCAAAAATACAGAATTAATTTAAAAAAATGAATATGGCCAGGCAGGCGTAGCTCAGTGGTTGAGCATCGGCCCATGAACCAAGAGGTCCCAGGTTTGATTCCTGGTCAGGGCACATGCCTGGGTTTCCGGCTAGATCCCCAGTAGGGGGTGTGTAGGAGTCAGCGGATCGAAATCTCTCTCATGGATGTTTCTATCTCTCTCTCTCCCTCTCCCTTTTTCTCTCAAATCAATAAAAACATGTTTTAAAAAATATTGAGTATGTACCTGGTACACAGAAGGCAATCAAAAATGTTAGCTGCTACTATTACTACTCACCCCATAAATAATGTACCAAGCGCCTAACAACATGAGGCTAGACTGGGGCGGGGAGATTAGAGGGGTGGTATTCCATGATTCACAAATCACAGCCTCCCTGGAGCCTCCCATCTAGTAGGGGAAACAGACAAAACACAAGGAAACAATCAAACACATAATCGCACATACATGCAATGAGGGAAGTAAGAAGGGAATGTCCTGAGACAGGTGCTGAAGGGGACATTTACCCTAAAATGGAAGCGCGAGGGCAAAGGGGACAGGATTCCAGGCAGACTTCCTCAACACTCAGTCCTGAGGCAGGAACAGGCCTGTGAGAGAGGAGCTGGAATAAAACCAGTGTGCCCTTGTGCAGTGGGCAAGGGGGAGGAGGGGAACCTAGAGCAGGGCTCGAGGGGAGGGCAGCGGCCAGATCCTGCAGGGGAAGGAATGTGGCTGTTAAGTCCAAGCAATGACCTGGCTTTCCCTGGAGGGATTTAAGCATGGGAGTGATGGGGTTTAGTTTGCTTTTCAGGAGATTATTTTTATGACTCATGATCCTCGCTCTGGAGAATGTTATACTCTATTTGGGTGAAACACCTTAGTGGTCAAAGCAGGATAGGGTATTACATGACTTGGATTATAAATACCAACTGCCTTGGAATCAAGGTTGTGCTGGTGCAACTGGGAAGGCTTCATGGAGGAGGTGACAGGAACAGGCCCTGAAGATTGGGAAGATCTGA